AGTGAAGTCCCATTGAAATCAAAGGGAGCTAATTCCAAGCAAATGTGTTTAGGATCGGAGCGCCTCCCTGCAATCTGGAAGCCAGCTACTCTCGCGTAGCTCCAGTTGCCTATTTAAAACAAGTGACGGGAAGGAACAGAGTCCAAAAGGCACATTCCTGTCCCACATTCACATATGTGAGATGCTCACCCGACTGAAGTCAGAGGGGCTTCATTCTCTCAATAAGAGAATTTGCACGCTTTTTAGGGCCGCCTTGTTAAAGAAGTCAAACAGTAGATTCCACGGCCCCAATCCTGCGCGCTTTAACTCTGCAGGCCCCACTGAAGCCCGCGAGGCTGGAGCTCAAGAAAGCGTGCAGAGTACTGCAGCCTTAAAACCATTCCAAATAATCCTTTCAAAACAAAACAGGGAAAGTAAGTAAAGATAATTCACATTAATAAGGAAGAAGTTCTATATGCCTTCCAAACACGATTCTTTTGCTTATGCTAGTAAGGGAAAGGAGAGGCAAATGCTAGTTTTGAAGGCCATGATGGAGAATTAAACACACTTGTGAGCTATACTGTATCTGAAAATCATTAAACACCATGGCATATGCTACTATCACTTTTTTTTAAAAAAAGTATATTCCATTCTCGCAAAACTGTTGCCCACAAGCAGAATACATTTGCATGGAAGCGAGTCCCTAGGGAGTTAATGCTGCACGCTAATGCTAGTGGATGGGGTGCAACCCAGGTTCGCACGTGTTTACCCCCAAGTAAGTGATCATAGGACTAGACAGGGTTACAGGGCGATCCGCAGCCGATAAAAACCATCCAGGGATTTCAATTAGAATGTGGACTGTTTCCTGGTCCCATTGCACTGGGCCAGAAAACCAAATCTATTTCGAGGCAATTTGCTTCCCGAGAAATGTACTGTATTCGGGATCATGAGGCTAATGACCGCAGCCTGGCGTGGCGTCTCATCCTGGGAAGATTTGCTGGGAAGCAAAAGTCCCACGGATCAGAGCAGAATTCCCTGCCTTGTTCACTGTAGAAAGTCGCCCTCGCCACAACCCTCCAGATTTCTGCGTCAACATGCAGGGGGATGGCTCTGCGAGGGTGATCTGACGGAGGCTACCAACCCGATCCTATGCATGTTTACTCTCAAGTGAACAAACGCGCCTAGCAGAGAGGGAAGTGGGGTCTCCTTGAGGATTAAAGAAACTTCAGTGAAACACCCGCCTTGCATCCAGGCGCTTCGTCCTCTCTGCGATGCGCGTTTCCAAACCAGCTGCAGAAGATTCTCTCCTTGGCTGTGGCTCATTCATTAATTCCCCCTCTCGGATTACCTACCAAATAGTTGCTGCGGCCTCTTAAGCCATTATTGCCAGCCAGGAGGCGACGCGAGAGAAAAGGATCCTGATCTTTTTCTCAGGCCTCTCTATCTCTTCCCTCCCTGTGGCGCTGGTTGCGCAGCGGTTATCATCCCAGGGAAGGGAGTGGGGGGTGGACAAGGCGACGGAGAAGTTCAGGCCTGACCTTAGCGAGAACTTTACAGATAGAGAGGGAGAGAGAGACGTTGCCAGGCTCGTCCCCAGTTCCCAGCGAGTCGCTGCCCGAAAGGACCACGTCCCAAGAAGCGAGAGAGGGCCTTATCAGGCTCGCAGCTCCCGCGCAGCGATCTGGGGCCAGGGCTCCTGACATCCCAATCGACCATCAATTTACCTTCCACCGCCCCGCTTCCCCATTTAGCTTTTAACGTCAAAAGCTACATTTTTGTCGGCTCCGGCCTGTCTAGGGCTCTTGCGATTTAGCTCCAGGAATGATTGCTCCTGAGAAAATAGCAACAGCCCCATTACCGAGCAATTAAAAAGGATCTCTCCCCCCCACCCTTTCCCTCTCCCCCTCTTAACCCTCGCCCGCCCACCCGCCATCACCTTTCAGTGGGTCCGATGGCCCCACTCGTTTAGACAAAGAGAGGGAGGAGGAGGAGGACTGGAAGCCAAAAGTCCTATTGATCATCTGGTGGAAAGGGGGGAAAATGCCGGTCAGTCAGCCGGCCACTACCTGGTCTGTTTCTATGGTTGAGATCCTCTGTGCACACTTAGAAATACCGCTTCACGGAAGTCAAAGGACTTCTTGGTTTTTTTGGGGGGGGGGCTTTGATGTCTGAGAGCTTAGATCCCTAGCGATCGGTACACAAATTTAAGGCCTGGCCCGGGCAGACACTGTTATTATTCTCGTGCTGGACTCTTATTTCTAGCACCTGGGGTCGAAAATGGTGCAACCGAGCTAGTATCTATGATTACTTGGAAGCCAGCGCCGCGGATTTCAGTTTCTCAAGTAAACGTGGGTAGGATTGCAGTCTCAAAGCTCTTGACTTTGGGTGGGATCCTGACGATTCTGTAGCATCTTTCGATTCTAGGAGGGGGGAAGCTTTAAAGTAATGCATAAACATGTTCACACGGAGTTAACAGTCTCTCTCTCTCTCTCTCTCTCTCATACCACCTAAGCGACTGGATGATCGACTATTTCGACAATATGACGGGCCCCAGGAAGAGTGGCATTGGTGACCGTGTGAGCTCGTGCGTACACGTGTGTGAGAGAAAGCCTAGATCGCTCAAGTATGCTCTCTACTGCAAACAAACAAGTGCAGGTTTTCCTTTTCTGCTGCTGCTTGGGAAGGAAGCGTTGAGAAGTTTGAATGAGGAATAATTTATTCATTAAATTGGGGGGTTCCTAAAAGAAGAGGTGGTGGTGAAGAATCGACCCTTAAGTACTCGCTGCAGCCTCGGGACATAGACCCGCTTCTTCTAATATCCTAGTTCAAAGCACTGCGTGGATGTAACAGTGCAAACATAACATAGAAAGACTTGCCAGTTGATATTCTGGGCCAGAAATCTACAAACACGCGAGGACGGGCGGCATGTGGGAGTGGGAAGTTTGCGCGATCCTGGAACCAGTTGTTTCTCTTCTCTATCCAGAACTTTGGATAGCGTTGAGCAAGATCTACGAAAAATCGTACTGGGTTGGAAAGGAGAGATTGGATCCAGCTACAACAGCAGCTGGAGTTAACTTTTTTGAAAAGAAAAGTGTGAGGTGGGGTTGGGGGGGGGGGAAGAGAGGGAATGTTCCTTCCCAGGCAAGTGTCTGTAAACACAGCTCTTCCCAGCCTCAGCTACCTGACCCCGGGACTGGAAGAGGGCACACCACGTTGGCCTCGTTGTTGTAACCTCGCAACCTTCCTGTTGTCAAGGCGGCCTGGCCAGCGGTGTAAAAGGCCCCTGCTTATCTTTTTATGGGCAGCTGGAAATCTACCTTCTCTCATCGTCAGAGCACGGCCAGGGCGAGCCATTTAAAAGAAAAGAAAAGAAAGGGGGGGGGTTTCACAAAACAACAGCCACGCACATCAGAGACATCTGGGGCAGAGCCAGCCAGCCTGCGCGGATGTCTTGTTCCATTCACGCCGGGAGCCCGGGGGCTACAGATCTATAAAAGTGAGCTCGGGAGAAAGAATGAAAAATCCTCTCGCTTAACCTTGAAAGCCCGATTAAGACCCAAGCAAGCTTCCTCAGGGGACAAGCTTAAACCCCACGCAAAACGACGGACGCCATTCGGTTCCTAAGTCCTCAACCTAAACTCCGTTAGCGCCGCTTATGTTTTCAGGCCGGTCAAGAAAAGGCTGAAAAGAAAACTCAGGACTGAGCAGCAGTATTGGGAAATTTTGGGCAATGCTGTTGCGAAGAGGGAGCGTGGTCCTTTAAAAAGGGACGAGAATGGCGGGGCTTTCCTATTTCGCGACACCAGCGTTTCTTCGGGTTGTGAGAAGCCAGCGTCACCTTATGGAGGCGGTTTCTAGCCCTGGTCAGTTTCAAGGAGGTTCAAGGCTGTTTGCCCGGCCTGGTGGCGTTTCCACCCCAAGAGAAGTTTCGGTAGCACGAGCCCATTTTATTCTCTTCCTCGCTCCCCTTAAGAACATTACAGAGCCCAATTCGGAAGCCCTTGCCAGAGTAGGATTACACTTACACACACACACACACACACACACACGCACACGCACTTTAAATAAATGGACTCGCTGCAGTCAATTGGAAGGAAAAGTGCAACCCAGGAGAGTTTTAGGGAACCACAAAGTTAATATCCAGGTCACCGTATCTCACTGTAAATCTTGCATTTCTCCCCTTTCCGAAATCCCTAGCCTTGCTCCCTGTTTCATACTTGACATAAAGCTCCAAGTTACATAATCACTTATACGGTATACCGAGGTTTCCTAAACCATCTTTGGCCTGGCCCCAGCCAAAGCACGAGGGCGCTTCCACAGCACAAACCTCTCCCTACAACGCCCTGCCGGTTGCCACCTCTGAAAGCAATACGCCGAGGAAAAACAGCTCACTCCGATAAGCACGAAATAAATATCCAGATTAGCTCCCGTCCGCAGTATCCTCCCCCATTCGCAAGCAAACACCTTTAGAAATCACTAAATTATTACAGCTTCAGTAAAACTAAACAGCCTCTCTCACTCCTCAGAGAAAACAAAGCAAAATTTGTTTCTGACTTGATCTAGTGCTCTACTACGGCCCATATAAAGTACTATAAAAATACCAACCTGAGAAATAGTATTTGGCCCAGTGTAAATGCTTCCCTGCCCCCTGAGCACGGGTGGAATTTACTTCCGCGGAAACGTGGTCAGGATCGCAGCCAAAGTCTCGGGGGAAAATATATATATATATATCCCGCCTTTGATATTTCTCTTTTACCCTTTCACCGGGGTCAAAACAAAAGGCATAAGCTTACTACCCCATTCCTATGCCGCGCGTTTACTCGGAAGTAAATGTCACCGCTTCCAACGAGGCTTTCGCAGGCAACACCAGCCCACAGGATCTCAACTTGATATGTCATCCTGGCCATTTACTTCCAAACGTTAGCTATTGTCTAGCTAACGTTTGGAAGTAAATGGCCAGGATGACAATAGCAAAACTCAGGAAGGAAAGGGGTTAAAAAAACATTTCAAGGCATCGAACATTTTCGTTTTAGAAAACACACACACAGTGGTTTATTGAATACGTACAGCGTTTACACCTTTGCGTTATTAAATTCAGCTCCACGGACGATTCGTTTTTACTTTTATTTTAATTTTTAACGTTCGGTTCGCTTCCTTAAGGACCGAAGTGCACTTGGACAAAAGAGCTGTCGCAAAATCTCTCCCAGCTCTTTGAGCGACCACAATGGGGAAAAGGACAAACCTGGGAAGCCCCGGACTCGGCCCAAGACGCAGAAATTGTGGGCTCCTGCTTTGAGATCGCCATCAACACGTTGACCCAACGGGGCAAGTATTAAACACATACACTTCACATGACACCCTAATGCCTGCGAGATTTCTTTCTTTCTTTTTGTCCCGTGTGTTCTATACAAATAAAGCAAAAATAACATTCAATGAAGGGGAGAGAGGAGGAAGGAGGGGGAAAAAACAAAACAAGAAACTATGGAGACGCCATTATCCCCCTTACCACGCCGGAGTTTTCTTCTTCATATATTCAAATACGGAATGCTTTTCTTCCAAGATCCGCGGGTTTCTTTTTGGGGTTTTTTTAAAGGCGAGACTAGGGGAGGGAAATTGCACATAAATAAACCAGACGATTCCAAAACAACAACAACAACGAGTCCTCAGCTCGGCAGCGGCTCTCTCGAAGGCGCAAGAGAGTCCCCCTGCAAGACGAGGCTTCTTCGGGCGCTCCTTCCCTGCAGTCCTGCGAGCGCCTCATTGCTTGAGCTCCAGAGCCCACACGTGCTGCGGCCAGCCCGTCCTGCCTTTCGTCTTCTTGTCGTTGCTGCTCACTGTACTTTTCAGGATCTCGTTCTGTTCCGGGAGAGGAGACGGAGAAGAGAAACAAAGAGATTATCTCCCTGCGTTTTATCTGGGTTAACCTCCTCCCGCCCGCACCTCTTTGGCAGGAGGGAGGCGTAGAAGGAGCCTCGGTCCGTTTGCTGAGAGGCCTCGGAGCAAGCGGAGCAAGCTCTTCTTCTGAAACGGGCTTTCTCGCAAAACGTGGAGGGATCAGATCCACACACTTAACACAACCCAGCTAGGGCTGCGGAGTTGGTGCAATGGAGTACGCTTCCCTGAGCCTTCTGAGCAGCCGCTGTGTGTATAGGATCGCCCGAGGAGCCGGATGCAGCGCAAAAGCGCAACCCTTGGGAAGGAAAGCGGCTCCCACGGCGACCCAACACGCGTCTACTCAGTTAAAGGCCTGGGAGTTCTGTGGGGTTTACACCCAAGCGAAGCTTGCACTGAATTGTAGCCTCATCTATAATATAGTATTTGTTGTGGCCTGCTTATTTTTCCGGCTTAACGGTTTTCTGAATCGGCTCGCTCTCCAAACGCGAGCGAACAGTGTTTCTCCAAATATAGGATGAACTTTATTTTAACTATAAAAGACTTTCATATTTGCAGGCGTTGGACACACACTTTAAAGCAAAGCAAAGCAAAGCAAAAAAAAAAAAAAAAAAGAAAAGTCCTTCGTCTCACTGAACAGCCCAATAGTGTATAAGCTACCCAGAATCTCAGGTTGCTGGACAAATGGCCTGTGAGGTTGTGGGATATGTGTCTAAGTAAACACTGAACCTACAAAATAAATCAGCCCCCACAAACGACTTTGCATCTACTCATTCATCATTCTTCCCCCCACCTCTCAATACTGTCTACACAATAACTCTCTCTCTCTCCAACTGAATGGAAAACGAATAGATTTTAAATTCCCCTATACACACACGTGTTGCATATGTTTACTGGTTATAAATGGCCAAGTCACAAGGAGGGATAAGACCCAGGGATTCCTCTTGGAGACGACAGTCACCAGAGCCTGCTTGTAGCCTTCCTGTATTTCCAATAAAGTCCCTTCCAAGGCAATGAATGCCCTCATCCCGGTACCCCAAGTTAAGGAATTAATGTGTGAGATGTGCTGTATAGCCTCGCCTCCCCGCCCCCCCCATGTTAACTTAGACCCTGAGCAGACCTGGAAGCACCGACCGCGGGTTTTCTTGTGAAATAGACATGCTTAGGATCTGAGAGTACTGGTCTGCTGAATATTGTAATATGGGCAATATCCGAGTCCCCAAATACTTGGAAATATCCTCCCACCCCCCCACCCCCTTGGGGGATCCTCTCTTTCGAATATTGTGCACTCAAACCTTTTTTTAAAAAAAATCCAGTTCAGAGTGCTAAATGCAATTATTTGGATATACCACCTATTTCAATGGAAGATGTTTCCTAGAGCTTTAGGATAACACAGCAAATGTATGGCGACTACTTTGGATTTTTATTTTATTTAAAAATGCATCCCAAGTGTTTTTGTTCAGGATTGTAACCTTAACCATTCTAATCCGGGTTGAGATTCAATTTCCAGCTCTTGGTCCCTTAGCAACTGCTGGTTTTTTTTTTTTAAAAAAAACCCTTCCCGATTATATTTAAAGAAAAACAGAAAACTTGTGATTGTAACCGGTTTCCTCTTCCCGCTCGCGATTAACTAGGCGTATTCTATAGGTTAAATTCTTGGAGGAAAGGAAGAGGGCATGATATTTTGAATTATTGGTGGAAGGCGGAGCTCGCCCCGCAATACATTTGCCTGATGGGTTCAAAGTAAATAGAACCTTCCTGACTTACTGTGCGATCAACGCGTAGCTCAGGAACTCCAGTTAAAGGGTTCAATATTACTATGACTTGCAGATTGCAGCCTTATGAGGAAGTGGGTTCCAAACACACACACAACCCTCCGCTGGACTGCTGCCTGGGACAGCACATCTGAAACCCCACTGATCTGTGTGTGTGTGTGTGTGTGTGTGTGTGTGTGTGTGTGTGTCCCCTACTCTTTCCCCAAAGGGATCTGTCTTTGTCGACGTTTCTTTAAACCGCAGGCTCTCTCAGGAGATTTGCTGGCTGGGGCCTCAATCCACAACTCATCAGTTCCAATCCACAACTCACTAATTTAAAGACAATCCCATTTGCTATAAGGGAGAGTCTCTTGAAATCAGCGACTTGTCGATTAGGAGAGCAAGCCGATTAGAGTTCAGCTCAGAAAGCGGAGCCGGGACATTTCCACTCGGATCCGCAACTGAGGGTGAAAGCGAAAGGCTGGCATTGAAACTGACTAGGAACTTGTCCCTGGCATCAAGGGAGTCTCTTGTGACATTTTGGTTATCTTAAGAAAGGCATTGTCCTAACGTGGATTTTGGACTTTGTTTCCAAATGGATACGTTTGAAAATGGTCCCTTCGGTTTTCACGGCGGCTTTACTTTCGAAGGGAGTCTGCGTTTAGAGTCTGCGTTTAGGGTTTAGGGATGGCCTCTGAAACAGCTTCAGTCCAAAGCCTACTAGTTTAACCGGTTTGCGGAGCTTTTGCCTATGCTTCTTAAACAAGGCTGCAGAAATTAAAATCACTCAAGAGGCTGGTTCAAGTGAAACGAATGGGGTTTACGGGAATCCCCCCCAATAAAGGCTGGGGTCCTTAAATTTAGAGCGTCAGAACAATGTTCCAGCGAAGCCAGTGGGAAACATCCCATTCCATACGTTTTGAAGGGCCAAGAAGGATTACTATGGGATAGCGAAGAACAATCTCTCTAAACCAGTTTGTGTCTCCCCTCGCCCCGCGATGCTGCTGAACTACAAAGCCTTGGCCCTGCTGGCTGAGGCTGCCGGGAGCTGTAGCCCCCCATGCCTGCCCTAAGGCCTCTCAAGTCGGGGAAGGAAAGTGATGGAGTGGCTCCCGCTTGCGCGTTCCCTCCGTGGAATCTTCCACATATTTACGGATTTACAGCCTTCCTATCAAATAAAGAACGTGTGTGCGAGAGGGGAGCCTGTAAACGAGCCGGGTCCTACCTACTGTAATACCATCTGGAAGAGGATAGGGAAGTATTTCACGTGTCCAACACGTTGGTTTCCCACAGCCCAGAGAGCAACCTTCGCAGCTGCGATCTTCCTTGGGTATGAATGGACTTGGAGCTCAAGCCAAAGTTTTAGCAGAGGCTGCCCTCAGAATATTTCCTTGGAAATTAAATCCCATGGAAAGCAAGGACACGGGACGCTCCTTTCCCCCACAATAAGGTGGAGGCAACCCTTCCACACGTTAACGGGATTTTCCCCAAAGCAACTAACTGCGTTCTTAGGTACACCCTACTGGTTTCAATGGAGCGTTGCTCCCCTTCGAGAAGCTTAGATCTCCCTTTCCATTCCATTCTCTCGGGACGTAGCCTTACAACCCGATCCTAGACGTGTTTGCACTTCACAGGGCTATGCTTTTCAGGGGCTCCACGAAGTCCTCTTTGGACACACTTTCCCTAAAGCACTGGGGCGGGAAACCAGTGGTCCTCCACGGCTTGATGGGCTACACCTCTCATTCCCAACACCCTTGACCATTGGCCATGGGGCCGAGGAAAACTGCATTCCGACAGTCGCTGGAATAGGAGGAGGAGGCCGCCTCTCTGTTCTTGACTGCTAAGGAAGCAGACTTGGAGAGCAGCTACTTCTGGGGGAAAGAAGGCCCGGCTCCCCACTCAGGAGAAGAGCGTCCTTCTTGGGACTGGGCTTGGCAGTGTGTGTGGTTGTGCTCCAGCGCTCCCTCCCCACTCCCTCCCTCCTTCCCTCCCTCCGGGGCCGTACTGACCAGCTCCTTCTTCCTCTTGTCCTCCTTGACGTCGGTCTTCTTGATCTCGGCCTTGAAGGCCTCGGCCTCGCCGTTGGCGTCGTCCTTCGCCAGGAGGTCCATGAGGTAGGCGATGTAGCTGGTGGCCAGGCGCAGCGTCTTGATCTTGGACAGCTTGGTGTCGGCGGGCACGTTGGGGATGCACTCGCGCAGCTCGGCGAAGGCGCTGTTGATGCTCTGAGTCCTGCGCCTCTCCTTGCGGTTGGCCGTGCCGCGCCGCTTGACCGGCCGCGGGCCGCCCCCTAAACCCGGCGGCCCGCCGCCGCTGCCCGGGGGGGCCACGCCGCCCACGTAGTGCGCGGGGGGCTCCAGGCCCGGCGCGCCGTTGGCGTACTCGGGGCTGTAGGAGAGCGCCATGCCGTAGTCGGGAGGAGACATCTCCGAGGGGTGGCTGCTGATCAACCAGCCGTGGAAGTAGGGGTTCTCCTCGTGGCCGCAGCGGCTGGCGGCGGCGGCTGCGGCTGCGGCTGCTGCTGCGGCGGCGAAGGGGTAGCCCTCATGGTGGACCACGGGGTGGTGCGGGAAGCCCCCGACCAGACTCATCGCCGGGGCTCCGGGAGCCCCGCGCCCCCGATCCGGTCCCTGGATCTGCGCTGCCGAGAAGAGCGTCTTAGCAGAGGCTGGTGGCCATCGGAGGAGAGCTGCAGAGCCCCCCGAGCCCCCTGGAGGCAGCAGGATCAGGGCCTCCCGCGGCACTCATGCGGCCCGGGAGGTTGGGGCTGAAGGGGCGAAGGAAGACAAGAAAGGGGAGCAGGGTCCCCCCTGAAAAGAGGGTCCCCTCCCGTCTCCAAGAGGTGAGTTTCCCTCGCTGTCTTTTTTCTTGTGGCGTCTTCTTAGAGGGATTTTAAATATATATATGAATACAACTTGGGGGGGGATGTTTACTTACACCTGCATTTTCCTCCGACAGCCTCCCCTTGGCTGGAATGTGCCCCCCAGCTTGCCCAGTGGGTCCAGTTCCTTCTCCTCCCTGGACGGGAAGCGACTCCTGCGGTTAAATCTGACCGGCTCCCATCCACTTTGCTGGCTGCTTCGCAGCTGCCCCACCAGGGAAATCCGCAGCTCTTCCTTGCCTCGATGGAGAAGCTGAGGAAGAGGACGAGAACGAAGAAGATGGTGGTGCTGGCGACGATGGAGGGGAAAAAAAATCAAGGCTCAAAAAAGGCTTCCCGGTCTCGGCGCTGCTCAGGGCACTGGTCGAATTTCCCAGCCGATCTCCATGTACAGCTACATGTTTAGGGCAGCTCGGGTTAATATATGTCGTCAGAGGCTCTCCGGGCCAATCCGGGCAGCCGGGAGGCGGGGCCTCCCTCTGCGGGCCATAAAACTTTTTTTGATCTTCGCGCTGCTAATTGTTCGGCTTCTCTTTTAGGATTGGCTGCGGTTCCTATCCATAATATAATTAAAACAAACGAGGCAAAGGGTCCCCCCCTCCAAGCATCAACAGAGGTTAACGCGAGGGTTTAACAACGTTTCGCTGTAAGTATGCGGGCGTGCATGCATTTATTTGGGTTGATGATATGGAGAGCCAGATGGAGGAATAGATAGACAGGCTGATAGATGTAAGGACTAAAATAGCTGATTATCTCAATTAAGGTGTTCTATGGTTCCAAGGTTTGGAATATAATTATGTTATTATAATTATAATGCACCCGTATGTGAGTATATTTTCTATCACTGTATGCTTGTTTATGATCTTGCAATAGGGACTGTGTTACTCACAGAGTAGTGACAGCAGTAGCGGTGATGTGATGGATTATGAAGTTACAAATGTTTGTTGGGACTTTTTTTCAGGATTGCTTTTTAGGGTAGTGTGGGACATTCAGAATATCCCCCCCTAATCAATGCCACAGTATGCTATCATTTGGAAGTACCCCCCCCCCAAAAAAAACCAATGAGATCCATTTCTACCTACAATGTAATCGGAATCGGTGTAAAAAGGAGAAATTCTCTGACAGTGCAAAATGCAATTGCAGTGGACCTTGTTAATGAGTTTCCTCCTGCAATTCACTTTACAGCAGACTTCTGGTTTGCTTAGGATTTATCTGGAGTTGTCAATCGCACTATACACGTGGCAAAAATTAAATAAGCAAAAACTAGATCGAATCAGTTGCAAAGCGGGGGGGATTTGTTTCTTGTCTGTACAAAACAGTCCGTTGCCCAAAAGGCCAAGCACGGGGGTCGGGTGCAAGAGAGATTTTAAGGAATAAATTACTTTTCAAAAGAAAGCAATGTGAACCCGAATCAATTTATTTCAGGAGTTTGGGCGTTCACACAATCCCTGCCTGAACTCAGCTTCCCCTTCACTTAGCCAGCCCAACTGGGTAAGTAACCAAATCTTTTTAACAGCACGTCGTGACCTTATTTTCTCCTTTCACCAAAATTTAAAGATCTGCCTGTCTTTCTCTTGTTTCACCAATAATCATAATACTGAACATATCTATCTATATCGAAATGCCTAGGCAAACTTAAAGTAGAAGGGGTTTCACTTATGAGCAGGGAGTTGTTAAAAGAGATGTTTAATAGGCAGGCCCGGCACAACGCCAACAGATATAGGGATAGATTTTTGTGCTTGGGAGATGTTGAACACATTGTAACAGGAAAAAGGATCCCCAACTGCATTTCACAGAGAAACTGGTAGCTCGGAGAAAGGAATCTGAGTACATTCCCTGTCTCCTTCCTCCGAGAAGACTCACTGGCTGGGCAAAAGAATCTTTCCAGTCTTGGCAAGAGAACTGGTAGGATTTGGAGCAGATTAGGACGCGGTTCCAAAATCGGAGTTCAACAAATCACCGATCCAGGAGAATCCTTGGAAGGAAATACGATTTCTTTATTTGTGGTCGCTTCCATGGGCTCAAATCCGAGCACATCGGCTTAACTGTTTGCACATCGCAGGCTTTTACAAGGCCCACAGAGGGGGAAAATGTTCTTGGGTTCCTGATATTTTGAGAGAAGGAAGGGCAGATTAAACATGGAGATGCGGATCCATTCCAAGGTCGCTTCTCTTGTCTTCCAGTTTATTGGTTACAGTCTAATCTGAACGGCAAAAGTGAAGGGAAAATATTAAGGCTGCGGTCCCGTGCGCCCTTACTTGAATTACCCTCATTACAACCCTGCAGAGCTTACTCTCGAGTAAGCATGCTAGCACCGTGGCGAAAGGCTTATAGGTTCTCCCTGCCATGCATCCTCACAGCGACAGCGGTATTGAACTTAATTCAGCTGGTGCAATGCAGTGCATAGCACACCTTAGACCGGAGCGTGCCCTAGGCTTTAATATGAATGGAAATTGAATGAAAGGGCGTGGTTGCTGTTTTGCAGCTTTGCTGTTTGCTTAGGGTAAAAAAAAGAAAAGTAACAAAGTCTTATACTCTGATCCTGTTCTATTCAAATGGGAGTGCAATCTGGTTTACAATTGGATTATGACTAGGATTGTGAACTTTTAACATGAGAGTATCAGGAACGGTCTGCCGCCGGCGATGATCCTAACACCAGGGAGATCCTACATAATTTTAAAACCGTTCCTCTCGTTTGCTCCGAACAGAATACTGTGCGTCTGAAATAAACCTAAGTGCACGGTATATCCCGGTGGCGTGGGTGTGCATGTGTAGCTCAGTGCGGGAGTGGAGAGCTGAATTAAATATGCAGAGTAAATAGCGGTAGTATAATGGAAACAAACAGAAATATAAGCCACATGAATGTTATAATGGGACGTGCAGATCTGTTTTCAGTATATTGCGGCGTGTTCCTGTCTCAATCCAGGGCGCTCTCGTGGTTGGCTATTATTCTTTCGAAACCGTGATGTACAACGCAGGGAAGAACACCGAGTGCAATCCTAACCATTCAGTCACACGAGAATTGGGCCATGGCTTTCGGTGGGACTTGGGTCGCGCCCACTTACAGTGAAGTATGGCTGTCAGGAGAGCAGCGAGGATGCGAAAATCCGAGTCCTCACCCGGACCACGGTTGCATCCAAGCCTTTGGCCCGATTCCGATTTTCAGGTCCAGGCATATGTTGGTGGCAATCCTATGCCCACAGTTATTCTGGGAGCAAGGCCCTTGGAATTCAGTGTGACTCGCTCCCGAGCAGACATGCAAGGCATTGAACTGTAAGACGATTAACACCCTGATCTCCAAGCAATGTGATCCCGCATTTGGCCTCAATTGATTTGTTTGCAAGGAATATGCTTCGTTATGTGTTCTGACGCAGCAATCCTGTGCACACGTACTGGGAAATAAGATCCCTTGAACATAGGCAGCAGGACTCATTTCCTCCTAGAACAAAATCCTTTTAGATTAGGATCTGAGTTGTTTGGACCACAATCCAGTTTTGAGTTTGCGGATCCGGCTGTTCACCAAAGTTTAGCAAGAGTTCATTGCTCCAGAAAAAGCTATGAGGGGATCTGAATAATAGTTGGATGCGTTGTGGTTGGATGCATGCGTGTGCGCGCGCGCGTTAATTAATCAGTGCAGAAATGTGGGCTTTGCAGAGGCTGAATGGACCTATTTGTTTGCAGACAATTTCGAGTGCAAATAAATGGCGTGCCATCTCTCAGGCGTGCCCCCAACGCAAGCCTGAAAAACTTAAGAGCGGCTGTGGTGAACCGCTGCAGCTGGTTCCCTAATATCTCCAGGGATAAAAAGCTTTGGCAAGCAAGCGGCAGAGCGAAATGCGACCAGAGCCACCTGAGATACTGATCAGAAGAGCAGCCCGCAAACCGTTTAAGGAATGCCATTTGGGGTGGGAGGGAGCGGCTTCCCTTATCTAGACGCCCAAACCGCGGCCTTTAAAGCGCCACTTCTTGATTTGCAAAGCGCGCCAATAGGATGCAGCGTCCTGCGGTTCTCAGAAGTTGTGGCTTTATTTATTTACCCCAAACCGCCAGGCCGACGCAGCCTGCGCAGGATCACTTATTTTCCTTTCCCATAGTCTCCTTTGAAATCTTCTCCACACACCGGCATGCACACTCTCCGTGCTTCACACAGATACCCTACGAATAATAATAATAAAAATTGTATGCGCTTTCTTTTCCACTCAAATCCTAAAGGCGTGACTTCGTAGAAATGCGCACTAAACTCCACTACAATGCAGCATTGATTTATTTTTCTTCGAGAGGTTTATGATTATTTCCAAATATTGGTGCTGCTTAAAAAGTGTAAAACAGACAGGAGCTGACGTTCGGTGATAGTAGTATATATTATTAGCTCAGACTGAAAATCTGCACACTTATAGGTTGCTTAAGTAAATGATGGTTTGCAGGAGAGCGGTTGAGGGATTCAGTCGAATTAGACCAGGATTCTAAACGCTTTATTGCGGATTAGACGTGTTTAGGAGGATGGATCCCAACCGGTTTCAGTTCCAATATTTCTGCTTCCTGGGATGCAGGATAAATAAATAAACCGAGACACAGATGGAGGATGTTCAGAGTTATGGATTGCGAAGCAGGAAGGGGAGAAAAGGAAAGGTGGACGAGCAAAGGAATAAAGGGATGAGAAAATTATAAACGAGGAGGATGGCTACGAGGAAATGCGCGTATGCCGGTCTGGAGGATAAAGAGGAGAGAAGGAAAAGAAGAAGAAGAAAGAAAGAAATGAGGTTGCTCGCTTTGCCGGATTCTAGTCCCAGCAATACATTCATAACTGCTTCTTTGTTGCCTTTCAAGGGAGCTTCGTTGTCCTTCTGGCCTGAGCTTTCCCAAACTGGTGTGGAAAAGTAAAAGCAGCCTGGGCGGAACTGGAGCACCGTGGAGTGGATATTCTGCAAGTCCGAGGGAGGGCGCAGTTCAGCAAAGTGTGTGTCACTGAATCGCTGGTCAAGGTATGTCCCGGAGAGGGTCCTGAACTACGAGTGCCGGGAGGGCTCCGCCTTGTGGACGTGGACAAGAGTCCCCCGTTCCCAAGGCGCTGGACAGGTGACATAGGCGGGACCGGCTAGATGGCTGCGTTGGGACCCTTTCGGTCCACGTGCTTTCAAGCCACACATTTATTTCTTGGGAGCCAAATTATTTCCCCTGCCTTCTAACTTCCCCTTTTGCTTTTAAAAATGAACCCAAGGAGGGGGAAATATGTGCTTATATTATGCTCGTCTGTATCAGAGGAGGGGGGGGGCGAGAGGTGCACTCTTTTGCAGGCATTTGTTTTCGCTTGCAAAACTCATACCAAAGGAGCCTCAAAGACTAACTGAAGGGAATCGAAAACAAAACGCTTTTTGTGTTTTAAGAGTTAGTTTTTATTCGTCCCCCTCCCAACTTATTAACAATGAAGGAGCCGGCACACGGCTTTTAAATTGCTACTTAAAAATGAGTGCTAAAGTCACGTAGCCAAGCGAATGGAGGAAAACAGGAATATAATGTAAGCTGTTCAGTTGTAGTTTTGATGGGTAATACAAGAGCGCTCCCCCCCTAAGGTTAAAAAACAAAACACCCCTCTGCAAGCACGGGGATCTGATTCATACTGACTCGGAAGCAAATTCTGAGATTTACTTCTGTGCCAGCTTTTGTTACCCCGTATTGGCTCCTCCGCCTCTAAAGCCGCTCCCAAATACAATCAAATAACAACAGGATGAATGGGACTTGCTCCAAAATATAAGCGTCCGTAGGACTGCAGTCACTGACTTGTACTACTAAACAGCTTCTTTGGGCTCCCAGTGAAAACAGCACGTGATGTTGTCCTGCTCTTTCTTTCTTTCTTTCTTTCTTTCTTTCTTTCTTTCTTTCTTTCTTTCTTTCTCCCAATCTTCCCAGCGGAAACGACCGCCTGCATTTATAACCTGAATAACGCGCGGATGCTAAACAGTTTTCTTTAGAAGACAATCGCCACTTTCTCTCCCGCCTCCCTCTCGTTCGTTCCTACCCAAATTGGGATTCTAAACCGTAGTGACTTTTCGTATCCCAATCAAAACCTGTGTTTAGGATCCGGCTGCCCTGTGCTCTTTACAGCCTAACCCCGAACAGGTTGGTTCAACTGGAAGTAAATCGCAGTGAAATGAAATCCAGTCCTGGGTGTATTACGGTAATCGCCTTTGAAACCAGTTGCTCCTCCTTACATTAGCTGGTGGGTCTTGCGTTCTGCCAAAGTTTCAACTCAGCGTTAGCTCAGCCATAGTAAGGCCAAGGAGAAGTAAATATTTGCAAGGTGGCACCTGAGGTCGTGCGCCCTTCCTCTTTCACCCCCCACCAGCTGTCATCACATGATGTGTTGTTTGTTTGTTTGCATGTTTTCAACCTCGCCCTTGTATTGCAATAGCAATTCTTTCTCGTCCCCTTTCCTGGGAGCTGCACCCCACGATTTTCAATGGAGGCAAATCATTGCCTTTACCTCCTTCATCAGAATTCGCCACGTTCATGGAGAGAGAGAGAGAGAGAGAGAGAGAGAGAGAGAGAGAGAGAGAGAGACAGACAGACAGACAGACAGACAGACAGACAGACAGAGAATCCTTATAGGGAAAGATAATAATGCTGACATATTTCTTATAGCTGCATATTTATATCCCGCTCTTCTCTCAGATGCGCTCCATTCGTGTCACTCCAAGCTTCTTTGGATTCCCTTTTACTGCAGACGGACTTCGAGTCATTCGCGGGTCGGGGCAGCGAGAATGGCAACGGAACAGTCTGCTTCCCAGCTCGACCGGAGGGGCTGGATGGATTTAAAGGCCGTCCTGTGACTCCAGCGGGTTTGTGGTTTGCATCTCCTCCTATTAAACCGATTAGAGGCAAGCCAGGAGAAACGGTTGGCTTAAAACGCCACAGAAACAAGTTTCACTGAAGTCATGAGGAAACACTGGCAAGCAAGCTTGATTGTGTTTTAGGGGGGTCAGGCTACAGCTTGACAGGTTTATTCGCAGAGGCCTGTATCATCTTTCCGCCAAACCTTCTTTTTCTTCAGATTATTAATTTATGCAGAAATCCGGGAGTCTTGAAGGCCAGCTGACATCTGGCGGGCTGCATCTCCCGCTCCTCTTCCCTCCCGCCCCCACCCCAGCAGTTCCAGTTACACAAATCGACTAGGGGAGTAGAAAATACTTGTTTGTGGGTGGGTGGTATCAATAAAGTGTCAGCGCTGGCTTGTTCGACGCGCCATCGAGGAACTGGAGCGCTCCTAGGTTCTTAAGCCATTTCCCAATGTTATTAATCGACAAACTAGAGAACTATTTGAATGTATGAAGGACTGCCCAAGCTCGCCGCAGATTTAAGATGCGACGGACCCAGCTCCGATCTCAAGTCCTGTTTGAAATGCACTATGGTACTTAAATCCTATGTGCAGAAATTTCTGCCCTGCTGAAGAATCTCTAAGAGAAGTCTTGCTAGGGTGACTTTCGCTTCTCTCTCTCTCTCTCTCTCTCTCTCTCTCTCTCTCTTCCTGCCCCTCTACATACAACAAATATGGACACTATATTTAAACAGTTGTTATTTGCATGGTTTCTTTCTCATCTCTACTGTAATGTCGTCGCCCCCCCCCGCACATTTTATAATTTGTCTTGGGCAATATTTAAAGGTAAAGATAAAAATAAACATCTCTCTGTGATCTTCGTTCCATGTTGTTTTCTTTTTGCGTCTACAGACCCATGGCACAAAGTCTCTAGAATTAAGCAGAGTAAATTACATGCGATTTTGTTGCTATTCCGTGTCGTCTTTTTCTTTCAGTAATCAAATTTTAGCTGAAGGTGATAGCCTTGGAAGTAAGGCTGTCAACATTGACAATGTTTACTTGGAAGAAACTGCTCGAGCTTCATCATTTGGCGGGGGTGATTCATGGACGTCTTCCTATAGTTGCGTACAGCAAATATTAGTTGAAATCAAAGTGAGTTGTAAGCAATGTTAGTCCTACTCAGAGTTGGCCCATTGGAATCAATGTGCCTAAGTTAGTTGCATCCGTTCATTTCAATGGCTCGTCTCTGAGTAGGAGTAAGGTTGGACACAGCCTAATGGATCTTGCAACATGATGCGGAGATCCTAAACACGTTTACTAGGAAGTAACCGCTTCTGAACAGAGTGGGACTTACTTCTGAGTAAACATGCAAAGGATTGCACAGTAAGACTGCTCACTCAATAGGATCAATATAAGATTATTGTTCTAGTCAAAGGCCATGACAAACTCACAGCAACAGTACCAATAAAACAATGAAGATCATACAGCCATAATATGTGCCAACATCCATGAGGTCCAGAGACTCAAACAAAATCCAATTTTATTTCAAATTAAATCTCCAAATCACTACAACAATTTAGGGATTTTATCTAACCCCCTTTTCCGGATTTTTAAATTCTGTTTTATTTTTTGCAGCCCCTGCATAGAGGGCCACACTGGGTGTTACCAAGCTAATATTGTTACTCAAAAGAAACCGGACCATTTCTGCCACAGTGTACCTGTTTGCTTGTGTGAACGAAGGTTTCACTCAGAATAAAAAGGGGGCTGGCTGGTATCTCCATTTCAGATTCCCTAAGGATTATTCTGGCATTACAGTGAACATATGTATTATGTACAAACGATCCTGGAATCTTTTGATGAAGGGGTGGCTAAGAAATATTTCACATAAATGAATGAGTGAATTCTGCCCCAACTGCAAAATGGGGGTTGTATCACTCACTGATGACAATATGTGGATCACGTCTAAGGTTGCAATACAAGCGTTTGTGTGAAGAGGATACACTTGTGGATTTGTGCAGCTCAAGCCATTGTGACTGGAGGCACACAGATTGTACACTATATGAAATGTGTGAAGACCCTTGTATTCATACGTGCCTGATTGTTGATGTTTTTACTGTTAATCGTCTTGGGATGTTTCATGAGAGGGAAGTTAGAAATATTATTTATTTCATTATTATTTATCTTCGATAATTAAGGACTTCAGCCTTAATTACAGTAATTGGGAATTACTTCCAAGCAAAAGTATATAGGATGAGTGAAGCTCGATGACTTCCATTGGGAGAAAACCACTTTACAGATCCCTAGAACCTTAACGTAGGCTGGTGGGTCAACCTGCATTTTACCTCTGAGCAATGAACGCCCATTGCTTTCAAGTGCGTTTGCTTCCACGCATGTTGCTTAGTAGGTTTTCTTTTGACCCCAGATCAACCAATGGTATAAAATTAAGTCTAACCCAAGTATTTTGGCTTGGCTGGGTTGTGAACTTGCTTTTGCTATATGCACCCGCCCTTCACGAATATAAATACTGTATTGCTCTCTTTGGGAGCTGCAGATGAAGGGAGGAGGAATAACCATTCAACGCAGAAGGAAGAGGAACAAATTAAGACTCAAACTCTAAATATATTCACCAGGAAGTATATTCCAGAAAGCCAAGTGGAAATACTTCAGAGTAAGCATGCTTAAGGGCGGCCTGCAAGGTTGCTATTCTAAGGATAATCGGTGCTACACTAAGAGAGAGGATGCCTACGAATGCCCAGCTCTCGGATCCATAGCTTCTACAAGATTCCGGAGAAAACTCATTCCCACTTAAGTCCAGGGCAAATGAGCACCATTCTTATGGGGCGATCCTTCTGCAGGCAGCCCGAGCCCAACCCTTTGGGTAAAGTCAACGAGCTGAAGTGCTTGCAGGGTCAGACTAGGGCCGAGGGACACAACCCAGGTCGAATTCTCACTCAGGGCATGGGCGTAGCCAGGATTTTTCTTAGGGGGGGGCAGACCTTTTGTTGAGGGGGGCGCCGAACCTCAGTTTGCTATGTATTTTTATTGATTTTTATTGCCCTTCCCTGCCCCCCCTGGCCCATGTCACTGGGTGATTATGGACCAGTCACACTCCTAAGCTAACCTACCTCACAAGGAGTATAAAAATGGTGGCTTGGGAAAATCAACTAGCTCCTCTGAGATCTTTAGTAGAAAGGCGGGATCTAAATGTAATAAATAAATTTATCTAGAGGGGTGGATGACTCTCCCACTGCATGGTCTATCAGTTTCTGTGGGAGAAATATGAAGTACAGTATCTGAAACAAACTGCCTAACCCATCTGTATAATGATCCAAATTTTATTTAATGCTAGAATAAATTGGGGGGGGGAGCTATTGGGTTGTTTTTATTGATTTTGTTCTGTGAACCGCCCCGAGACCTCCGGCTATAGGGAGATATATATAAAAAGAAAGAAAGAAAGAAAGAAAGAAAGAAAGAAAGAAAGAAAGAAAGAAAGAAAGAAAGAAAGAAATCGGGCGGGCCGATCACTTTTTTGTTTTTGAGATATGGATATGTAGTCCCCCACTTGATTGACTGAAAACTTTTTTTTAACCTTGCTCTTCAGCAAAAACAAAACAACAGCCACTCCAGAACTAAACAAAGAAACTCGCAGACCAATAAACACAAGACATGTTCTCATATTGGGAGGAGGGGGGAGGCAGGAGAAAATAAGTACTATATGGACCAGTTTTTAGTCACAAGTTCTTCTGATGACCAGCTGGGATGGAAACCGATCAAGAGGAGGAGGACGAAGCGAGAATTGCTGGTCTTTCAGCTGCACCAGTGGAGTGGTCCCTGGGCCCCTGCGCCCCTCCTCTTCACCCGCTGCTACAGCCTGATGGAATGGCGTGACAGCGGATGGAAGGCGGAGCCTTGCTTCTCAGCGGTGCGGACGACGGCCTTGCTCCCCTTCTCTCCACCCTCAGAGCCCTGCAATTGTTAACAAATTGAGCGCGCGTTACCTCATCTCCCCTGCCAGGGGGGTTCATGTGCCTTTAAGGGGCGCGCTGTAGACAAGTTCTACCTGCCCTGTAACTGAATGATGGCAAGAAAAAAGTGACAACCCTAGCTGCAGATTTTGAAGTTGACCTCTAGGTAGATCAATATTATGTGCGTAATGGTAATAGCTAAGAAAAGTAAAACATAGAGAATCGCCGGAGTCAGACGCCGACCATCTTTTGGAAATACTACAAAACTGTCTTGGGGTGATGGGGGTTCCGATTGCAGTGGCGGTTAAACTCTTGGCAATCCTACATTTGTTCTGCACTACAATATTTCCTTGCTTTTGGCAAGTTTGTATTCCTACACGACTTGATACTTCGTAAGAGATCCCTTGCTCTATCTCCCCCCCCCTTGACACATCTCACGACTCGTTAGTGGTTAACTGGACGCCTTTTGACGTTTGCTTTCAGACCTCGTTTTTGGATGAGCGCGGTCTCCTTTGGGTTCACACTAGCCTTCTAGAACAGGGGCGACTATGAATCCGAACCTCGGGGCACGTGAATACATTTTTTCGCAGGTAGCGCCCGCTTCTACCTGTGCGATTCCACGGTGCTCAAACCGACGTGCGTTTTTTAGGCTGAGCACGTTGCACTGGCGAAAGTTGCGTGAGGCTCTGCGCTTAGGCTGAGCACGTTGCACTGGCGAAAGTTGCGTGAGGCTCTGCGCTTCCACACTCAGAGAGAGAGAGAGAGAGAGAGAGAGAGAGAGAGAGAGAGAGAGAGAGAGGTGTCGGCGTGCCTATATTTGCGTATCCAACCCTTCCCTCATTCGCCCCCCTTCCTCCGTCTCTCTCTCTCTCTCTCTCTCTCTCTCTCTCTCTCTCTCTCTCTCTCTCTCTCTCTCTCTGTATCTAAATGTAATTGATCTGGCTGAGTGAGGCCGTTTTGGTAATTTGGATACACCGAGTCTCCAGATAATGACATATAATCAGACTTCGGGTCACTTGGTCATTCTCTCATGACAAACCCCTCCTGCTCCCTCTGATCTCCTTTCAAACTAAATTTCACACAAACAAATAAAGCAAGACAGGGCAAATTCTTTTTTAAAAAAAACAAAATAAAAAAGCGGGCACACCAGGGAATGGCAGGCTGGGCGGGGGGAGGGAGTTAGGACGAGGAAGAAATATTAGAAAAAAAGTCTGTTAATAAAGAATAGTAAACACGCTCGGAAAAAGGGAAGAGGTGGGGGAATATACCAAGGGGTATGTATATATGTGTGTGTATGGAAAAGGACATACTATCATGAAGAGAGTCACTGTGTACAAAAGGCGAAAGGGGAGAGCAATGGTCTGGCTCATGTTAAAAATGACATAAATTAAAATAAAAAATAATTACAAACAGAAAAATGTCATAACGTAAACACAGAGAGGCTTACTGGAAAAGCGGCGGGGAGCGCTGGGAGTCCTCCCTCCTTCCCTAGCCTGCCTGCGTGCGCTTTCTCCTTTGCAAGGCGCCAGCAGAAGGCGACCCCCTCCCTCCTCCCTCCCCCTCAGTTGGAAACCCGGGAGGCTGCGGACCGAGCTGAAGTCTTGCCGGGTGTGGGTTTGTAGAGGGGTTGAATGCTGCTGGTGGCGAAGAGGGAAATCCGGAAACTAATCCCTGCTCCCAAAATGAAAAAAGTTGGACAGGTAGAGGGAGATAGAGAGAAGGGAAACAACAACAACAACAACAACAACAACAACAACAACAACAACAACAACAACAACAACAACAACAACAACAACAACACTTCCTAGGGGGTCGCTGGGCCTAAACTCAGTAAAAAGCAGTGGCCCTTTCAAGCTGTGTCGGTGGGTGAACTGTGGCTCGCCAGATCTTGTTAGACCGCAACTCCCATCA